TATATAGGTCCGTCTATCGTCAACTAAGGGGAGTTAGTCTGATCGTTAGCTCGATTATCGATCGATATCGGATCGTCCCGTCCGTGTGCTGACTGCTGCTCTGCCGAATAGATATATCGAAAAAAAAGTATGGAGGTAACAAAACGAAAAAATACCAAGCTTGTGGTGTTTGTCATACCGAAATTCAGAGTTTTCAGCGAAGAAGCTGCTATTACGTCAGCGTTGTTGATGTTGTGCTACGAAATTAAAAGGGTAACTTTCTACAAGATTCGAGCATTCACGGACGGATATAGACGTCATGTGAAGGATACATGAAGGATGACACCCAATAACTAGTAGTTAGTTATACGTTTGAGATAAGCACATTTCTCGTCATAAGAATTGCCGGAGTAGCTTGATATCCATTCGCTAGGGACAGTGATTTGACACTACAATGCCACTCCGTTGGCAGTGAAGTAAGTGTCCGTCTGCTGTCGCTGTTGAGGTATCGCTGAGGATAGTTTGAGTCACCGGGATTCGACTGTATAACGCGCAAAACTGTAACTAACTAACTAATTCATTCATTCATTCATTTTTACTTTACAATAGTTACTTACTTTTCTTAACCGAAAAATGTGCCATCTTGTAACCAATGCAAGTGCTATCAGGCCAATTGTACCTAGCTGTTGGCTTTGCTACGTATGGGTAACGATAACTAGTAACGATTTTATAGAGCTGAGTCTATCAAGTGATTCATCGTCTCGTAGACTCGATAGCCATTGAATCAGTCACGGAGGCAACTCATGACGACTCGAAGATGATAAGAAACGAGCCTTAACATCTCACACACATGGAACCGTCCACGGCTGTTTCTGTTAACAGCTGCTGCTGCTGCTGTTGTTAACGCTATTTCTAAGACAGCTGTCGACTATCTGGCAAATTATTTTCCTAGAATTATTCAGGTACGCGATTTTTTTTGCCAAAAAATTCAGTGCTATGAATAGTTTTGTATGCATGCCCAAATCGGCGCTATTCTGATGCTTATCCAGCAATGCTGGGCTGCACCGGAAATAAATACCACGCGGACATCTAATATCCCACAATTCTCCCACGGTTTGTCGAACGTGGCCGTGGCACTTTTAAACCCGCCAACCCCGTCCATCCCTTTTGCTTTCGCATGCAGCCTTAGTCATCGTGCAGTCTTCCCGCTGCGTGTCTAGCCTGGCCAAGGATAGTTCCCGTTTGCTAGGGATGCCTGCGTCTTTCTTTATGTCCCTTCCGGCCACTTCACGTTAAAGCCGCTTTGTCCAACGAGTTGATGGATTCGACCGTTCTCACGGGATAGTCAATGTCCTGCCAAATAACCGAGCACTCCGCCGTTCACCGTGGCATTATTACATGGTACTTTGCGGTCGTTGTTTTTTTGTGCTGGCCGACCTGTTGATCCAACCTGTTTTTTTGAACTCGTATTTGCCGTAGCTCAGCAGCTGACATGTTTCTCACTCGCTGAAATGGCCCACACTTGTAATAAATAATGCGCTTAAAACAGGGCCATCAGCTTCGACGTACGAGTAGCGCTTTGAACGTACAGCTCTCCATAGGGCTCGATTTGACAAGAGCGGCTTAGGAACGGAGACATGAAATAGTCACCGCTTGAACCTTTCGAGCATCCCCTGGGCATCCCTACCTATATTGGTTTACTTAAATTACTTGCGTAGTTGTGTATAGCGACTAGTGCTGACTGAGCTGCGATGACCTATGGGTGGTGATAACAATATCCTTAAGCTCACTGTGTTGATCGTCGCTCGATTGATGCTAAGCCTGCTTCCCCACGATCCTAGCGAAAAAGGATTGTGCCGTACCGGCAAAAGGAATATGTGACGTGTACAAATACGAGGCGACGACTAAGGGTGAATGGGGATATAGCTGAGTGCGTGTGAGTCTTTAACGAGAGTCAAATTGTCTCGCTCTACGTAAATAGAAACTATATAGACGCTCGATAGCGTGGTTTCAAGGCTTGTAAAGGCTTAAGCGCCTAATCTATATTTTAGTTTAGACATTCGACAAATATTATCAAAGACATATTAGATAACTAATGTTCAAGACTTTGTTCTACAGCTCGTTACATTGCAATAACTATATAAATAGGGATTGAAAATAGAATGAATTAGGACAGGCTCATATTTTGTTAGGCAGGCAGGATTCTTTGTCTAATAATTTTGTTCGCTCGCAGTATGTTTTTCTATACTTTAATTGTTTGCTTTACATATCCACTATCAACGATTATGATACTACACTAAAATCACTACTCTTCGTGAATAATGTCGTTGGGCATTTATTCATTTATCGTTCCTTCTCGCTCGTTATTTCCTTCGTTCACTTTTTGTTTTTGAAAATTACCGCCCCCCACTTTTGGCCTTAGCGTTTTTCTAGTTTTATCCTTCGAAAATCGCTGATTGCACGGCCTCCGAAAATGCGAAAGATGACAGCGATCTCGACTAATGCTCAAGATCCATCTACCTCCGGGCCTCGGTTATGCCGTTTTTCATCCTTAGCGGCTTCCGCATTTTCGCTCGACCTATTGTATTTTATGCCCTTGTCTGGGCTCCGCTTTGAAATCACCGAGGATCACTCTACACAAAGAAAGATGTTCCCCGTTAATAGAAATTGATTCGCGGTACTCCGTCGGTGTCCTTTCGCCGTAATATTCCTCGCTTTTGTTGTCCTTTGCGAAAATGACCAGGCGGAGCAAAGTTACTATCTTATCACTTGTTTCATCGTCGCCGTCATTGTATCAGTGTTATTTCCTCGCTTTATACTCATATCTATTTATTATAGCATGTATATAGATTCGTTTTCATCGTGTCTGTCTACTATCATCACCATCTGTATACGCATTTACTTCGCATCATCATCATCATCATCATTGTTATTATCATGTTTTACTTCGTTATTTAAGTATGTACAACAAGATTGCAAGAGGCAGTCGCTGTCGACTCAAATTGAGGGTCGAAGATCTTTTCCCTTCCTGCTCTCTCTTCTCTTCCATTCTCCATTCCGTTCTGCCTCTTCCACTTCGACTAATTCGGTTCTCTCTGTATCATTTCGTTTTTCATTAATATTAGCATTATTATTATTAAACTTTAACGATGCTCTCTGTGTCATTTTACATACGCATACGCTCTCTTTGTTTTTATATACTGGCACTCGTTCGTCCGCTTTCCAGCTTCTCTTCTGTCCTTTCTAGGTTTATGTCGATTTGTGGATTTCTAATCAATTCAGTGTCCACCCTTACGCGCTCGTCTAGTCATCTTACAATACAACATAGCTTGAGATTTCTCTTAGCAGAACTATATATCTATATACACAATTCATTACAGTTAGGAACCGGTGAGATAGGCGAAGTAGCAAAATTTCGCCAGCTCTTTAGGTTAGTTCTGTGGAGTAGGTGCACCTAATGGAATCAAAACCGGAAATGTGTTGACCTCGCTTCGAACTCAAATTCGTTTGAGAGTGGTGGCAGCGGCTGCGGCCGTGAGGGCTGCTTTGAGCAGCAGTAACTCCGAAGGTCCTCGGCATCGAATCCGTGGGTGTCTGGGCCTCAGTAATAACAACTGCAGCCTTGGTACGTGGCCAGCCAGGATGGAGAGCCTTGGCTTTCCTTTTAGCATGTACCATGCTGGTTAACACTGCGCTGCAACATCGGCGGTAACTCCCAGCGCGAGCGCTGGCTATCTGTTTGTCTGTCTCTCGGCATAATTTCTCTATTTGCATCCTTCAATTGGGTTAAATTTAGATTAGAGCTATCCTAGTTGCCCACACACTCCTTTCGATACTGTGACATGTACATATATTTCTGTTGCTCTCGAGGGGAAAAGGGTAAGTTGTTAATTTTTTCCTTGACCTGTCTCCCTTGTGTGGAAGACACGTGGCCCTCATTGTTTCGATCGCCTCACCGGGTTCATCGGTAACACAACGTAGCGCCGGCAGGTTAGCTCTCTTTAAACGGGCCGAAAAATACGGTGCCTTTTTTTCTGATTGGATCTAAAAACCGCGCCTTGGCGGAAGCGAGAATGAATTTAATTCATACTGGGGAAAATTATCGTATGCGTTCTGAGACATCTACAGGCGCTGTTACCTTGCTAAAAGAGTGCGAATTGTCCTAGTTCTTATGATTCATTGGATGGTCGATTGACTGTCAGCTGCTTTTGTTTTTTGGGGGGATCTTTCGGCATCCCCCTTTTAGATTGTATCTGAAGGCGTGAATGCCCCTTGACCACCTGACTGACTGACTGACTGAGGTTAGCCATCCCGATATTGGCGAGACGCAAACTAACTAGACGTAAACTAGACGTATATACCATTAGACACTGAATGAGATAATATTCTAAGCTACGAAGCAATAATACTGCTGCGGTGTGTTTTTGTCATCAAATGTTCTCATTTCTTTGTATTTTAAACTTCTCAGATTGACGCACCCATTGCTTGGTGATTATGGTAGATTTTTTGGTACTTTGGAGTGAAATCATTGTGGATTCTAGGGGCGTAGGACAAAAATCTGGATTCTAAGCTCTGCTGTCATGTCTGATATCTCGACAATGTGTAATGAGATTAATTAAATTAGGTAGCTTACTTTGTACGAAAATCGCAAAGTAGAATATCTATTTCAGTCTCCAACCCTCGAACGACAGAGAGATCCCGAGATCTGAATAGAGTTCTAAGACTAAAGGCTTAAGTTGAAAGTTGGACTGCCATAATGTCTAATTATAGAGTGACTTTGTTTTTCGACTAGGATACAGATTGGCCACCATTCACATGCCTAAGTAAATATTTGGGAAAGTAGAAAATATACAGATTGATACACATTTTTCACTCGCTTCTACCTCACTTAATGCCCTTGGCTTTCACATCATCGAGGCGTTTTTTTTTTTCCACCACATTTTCCAACACTTCAGAAGGGTCAACGGTGTCATATCTGTGCCCGTCATTCGCCGCCTTAACAAACGTGTAACAGATTGCTAAAATGCATCGTCAATGGCTTTCTAGCACTGTTAATACTGCTGTGTGAACAAACTGCTGTTATTATTATTATTATTTGCTATATCAAGTCGTTCGTTTGATCGACCGACCAAAACACAGGCTTTCTCTGCCTTTCTCATGACTCTTTTTACAGCTAAAAACCGACAAGGATGATGGTTTCCGTTCCCGTTTATCATGCCGCCTGTTTATCGTATTTGTGCATCAAAATTCGGTATAATTCTTTTGTTTTTCTCGTCTCAGTAATGTACAAAATTAGTTCTTCAGTGTTCGTCATTGTGTGGCTCGGGGTTGGGCAAGGCTGAGTACGGTAAACTAGGCCAAGCTGCTATTTTTACTTACTTAGAGTTTACTGATGTAAAATTTGAAAATAAGAACGCTCGAATGCTTGGTGGAAGTTCATCCTGACATGATCTCATATGAAAAAAATCTCATATTATCTCGTGAAACGGATTGGACAGCCTCGAAGAAATTTCTATAGAAAGATTGATTTGCCTATACGGTCCTAAAAAGGTGGGGAATGGAAGGGGAAAACATGCACGTGTTGGACGCGTCTGTGTATGTGTGGATTCGGTGCTTAAAGGACCGTTGGCTGATTATAAGCTAGTTGGCGTCTGATACATCTGGTAGAGCGACGGATGAAAGCCGTTATAACTATTACTCTCAGCCGGAGCGGAGCCGTGTAATGTCGAATCGGAGCTCATGTGTTGATTGCCTTGAGATTGCGGGGGCGTCACCGGGGCGCCGTATCCCTGTGCGAATTGCATCTCATATAGCTTGAGCTCGGCCTTGTTTTCAGCGTTGTTGATAATATTCGAAATGCTGAACGGGTGGTTCGTCGGATTGAAGTGCGGGTCGATCTTGAGCAGGGACTCGTGCGACAGGCCTAGCGAGGCCAGCTGAGGGTGCATGCCTTCCATACCGCCCACCCCGAACATCTGCTGCTGCTGTTGAAGCTGCTGCAGCTGTTGCTGTCCAAGACCACCTAGGCGACGACCAAGTCACGAGCAATGAGCGGTTAGGACAAAACTGAATGGAAGATTGCTGCTGGTCCCAGCAACACTTCTCCTACCTAGAATTGCGTTCGGGCTACTTTATAGATTAACGCCTAAAGGACGCCCAGGAAGACCCCAGTAGCCGCTTGAACCGGCCACCTTAAACCTCGAAGAAATGACAACATGTCGCTTCTTCAAGGGAAAAAAAGACAAACGTAGAAGGAAAGTGAGCGCAAGCTGAAGAAGAGATAGAAGAGAAACGGATGAGACACAACATCAACGACAATGAGAGACCAGAGAACGAAGGGAAGTTCTGTAAACGGCCGACTTACTCTGATGACCGGCGTGGTTCTGATTCCAAAGATTGTGCTGTTGCTGTTGTTGCAGGGTTGAGTCGAACGAGTTGTTCACGTGCGGATGATGTCCGTCAAGACCCGCACAGCCGTGGCCGGTGTCTCCAGCGGCGGTGTTCTGCGAGGTGTTCTGAAGGACACCGGCCTGCTTGCCTTGCTGCTGCTGCTGCTGTTTATGGCTCGGGTGACTCGTTGAGTGGCTGTGAGAAGATGACTTCGTTTGGTGCGCGCCGCTCGACCGCGTCAGGGGGTTTTCGCGTTTTTCGCACTTGAACCGCTTCTGACGGCGCAGGTAGCATCCGTTCTCGAACATATTGCCTGAGTCCGGGTGCAATGTCCAGAAAGATCCTGAAACGTGGAAAGGCGACAACGATCAGACGAAACAAATGTTTTAGTAACATCATAGCACGCATTTTCGCGTAACACTTACGAGCTTTATTATTGTTGATCCCAGTAGTCACTAATTATAAAATTTCCCTCTTCCTATACCTATCTGTGCTGCTTTAACTAGAAGAAGTGCATCAACCCATGTAAAGTTCTCGAGCTGATCAGCTAGCTATTGGCCCAATCAGACAATTCACAAATCAACCTTTACACTTCCCCCTCGCGCTGTTATTATAAACTCAACGTAATAAGTCTCTGTTGGAACTTGCACTCAATTGTCACAGTGATAAATACCGTCTTGGCTTCATTAATGGGCAAAGAAGCACTTGGGTCGCCTGCAACTATTTAATAAGCACTATTCAGTTATAGGTAAGTGACAGTAGCGCGGTCGGCTTCCCCAAATCTTCTACTGCATGCCTGCCACCAGCTGCATCGTCTATGCATATCTATGCACGCGTGCCTCGAAATCCAAGCGTCGCAGATCGCTAGCGTCAGCGTTATTCAATGAAGTTTCACTGCGGACAAACTGCCGATCGGAGCGAACCGGAAAACTTACCGTTCCATGCGATCGACTTTTGTAATAGTTTCAGTGACGAGAGTAGTGCGGCAGCCTTCCAGCGACGACAAGCGTTACTACCTCGATGTAGCGGCAGTAGAAGGAGCCGTCGTGACCGACCGCGCGATATGAACTGCAGTCGCGGGCTGACATAACAATAGAAACGATGCAAAATGCAAACAACGGTCCCAACGCATAAGCCGCCCTAACAGAATGTCTGTAGTAGTCGCTGAGATCATTTGTTGGCAAATTTCATTTTCGACGAGCGGCCACGGGTCAGTGTGTTCCAGTTCATCGATCTGACGCCGCACTGAACTTCAGTTCGATTGGAGCTTCGTCTTTCGGCTATGCGTCTGATTTGCCTTGTCACACAGCCAGCCTCTACCGGCAGAAAAAAAAAAGTTGCTTGTACCAATAAGATAGCAGGCCATGAAGAAAAAGAAGAAGCGTCCTAGTATTTTCACATTTTTCGCTCTCACATCTTTTGCCGATTGAACATACATACAGCCGCAATAGGAGAGGCGGCAGTAAAACGAAACAAGATAATCGCCCCCGAGAGTTAACCACGGACTGTACGGTCGGTGCGACGAAGACAGACGCAACAAGGCGAAAGGGATATGGCGGCGAAGGCTGAAGTAGTCTGTATGCAAACGGAAGAAACAGTTGACTGTGACCGGACTCGCCATCATCTTATTGTCGGATCGACATCGCCGTCGAACCGGCGCGCCGCTGTCCAGTGCTGCGATGGAGTTGTCAATTGGTCACGCTGTCACGTCACCATTTCGCGGACCAGAGAATCGACGTAAGTCGGCGAGATCCCCAGCAAGAACTGCCGAAACAGAGGGGACCCAAAGAACCGAGTGACGATGGAATATCGGAACAGATGCCATAGGATTGACATCACCAGCAGCAGCATTGGGACCAACAAAACCTGCACGACCGCCGCCGACGCCTCGTAATCAAACGCGATCAACGAGTGAGCGAACACCGTAAACTATGACGGCCGGATAGCTGCGAGAGACGGCGATATGTCGATTGGAGAATAGACGAACGCATGAAAGAATCAACGATAAGACCGGACGAAAAAAATGAGCAGACGGACAAATCGACTGACTGCGACTCAACAATTGCGAACTCAATTGTGGCAGGAGCCGCCGCTATTTGTGCATTTGGATTCGGTCGTTGTCTTTTTGCTTACTCGTTGATGTTTGTTTTACCGTTGTCCGTACGGAAAAGCTCTGCCGACCGGCGAATAAGCGAGCAATACGACCTCGTCATAATCAAACTTCGATTGGCAGGTAATTGGCTCACAACGATGAAAGAGCTTCAACGACAGTTTCAAACGCCGCCGGCGACAGAGCTCGTTGTAGAAATATGGCAAATCAAAGATCTAATACAAAGTCTGGTTGTGCTACTTGCTTGACTCGTTGCCCCAGTGCGCGGTTCATGAATCACCACCGTTGAGAATTTCAAACGGCATCTCCAACTATATGGAGGGGCTTACAAGCGTCGAGTATGTGCAGCTGCGCATGGCAGACTACCGAAACATAACCTGCTAGAGCATAACGAGCTCTAGCAAGATAATGCACATCAAGCGCCATGTTACTTCAATGCTGTGTACCACCCACATATGGAGCTGTAAAATTATTGTATACAAACGTTTTTCATATTTGTGTCCTTTCCGTGTATGATAGATTGCAGCGAGGAATTTGCCTTGATTTTCTAATATGGATGACGGGTTATTGCATAGACGACGCTGATGATATTTTGCACGTGCGACCTGAGACCTGCAGAAGTATAAGTGTCCCTATGAGCTGCTTTCCCCCTTTTCTTTCTAGGGCTTGGATTACAATGGCCGCTGTGTGTTGTCCAAATGAAAACCTTCATTTTCATCAGCGACCTCTCTTAGCAATAATCTGACGATGCGTGTAACGATACGCTAACCGAGGAAGCCCGGAATCGACAAGCTCGTTGGTATTCGTCACCCTCGGAACGGGAGATAACCATGGACTCGGGAGTGGGGTATTACGAGAGGTGGATAGGTACACAAGTTACAACAGATCTTCAGCGCGCACATAGTCAACCGTTTCATTTTAGATACCTTCAGAAGCCGGCATCGCCCTTTTCGGTGCTCGCTCCGATCCTATCTCGAGCAACCTCCGACGCAGGTGCAAAACCTCGCTTTCAAGACAGAGTAGACCTGAACTAAATAGCAGGATGCGGAACCGTCCCGTACAAACGAGCTAACCATCCCAGAACGCACGGATGACAAGCGCGGATCGGTGAACGGTCGATGTTTTCATTCTACCCTTCGAGGATCTTCGCGCGTTTTCAAGCGGCTTCGTGAAGGTTGGCCGTCTTCGGCCCTTTAGAATCGAAATTCTTTGGCTGCCTGGCTCATGGCTACGTTCCCGCTGCTATGAGTCTACAAAGACAAAGTGAGGCTTCATGGGGTGGAATCGTAAACGAAAACGCACGCGATAGAAACAGGTGAGCAGAGAGAAGGTGCAAAGGACTCTCACAATGACACAGGTGCAAGCCACCACGGGCCACGGATCGAAACACGATGGTGCCCACGATTGCTTTGAGCCTGGGGAAATCATTCCGTGCTAGATCGATCGAAACAACAAGAAAAACAGCTCGTGGCCATCCTCTTGAACCTAACGCCACCCTTTTGAACTGGACCCACTTTGGATGCGCGAGAGGTGATTAATGGAACGACCTGCACAAATGGAACTATGGATAAAGCAGGATTTCGACAAATTCCGTTTTGGTGGCGGGCCTTGGCCTAGAGATCTACTTTGACGTTGTTTGCCGCTAGGCAATTAGAACTTCAGTGTCGATAGTTTCTGTTCCTAGTTATCTCGTCTGTATTCTCGGTGATTAGGGTGAGCTTTGCAAAAAAGAAGAATCAAATCATCGCGTTTATCGAGTGCGAAGTGGTCATCCCTGCCACTCTGTATTTTAATCTAAATCATACGGTTCTCTGTATACTACTTTGCACTTTAGTCACGCTAACCTGTTCTAAGCTTAAGCTTCTAGCTTAACTTTTTTCTTCTGCACGATGGCTGGCGCTCGCACAACGTGCCCGCATCAGCATTGCAGATGCAATACGAGTCGACATAGCATTGTAAGGACTGAGACCGTCATGTAACGTACAAATGTTGGCCGCGTCATACAGCGCATCATGCCAACAGGCAGTTAAAATAAGTGGAACCGCACCAAGTTGCGAGCATAATGATCAGATCTACTGCGTCAACGAATACATGATGCATACATGTATCATACGCCAAAAACCATCCACAAATACACGCACCCACATACAGGCACATATAAAAAGAAACACACAAACCGGGTCACAAACGTTATCAACGAATTTGCGCGTATCACACGTCAAGCTACTTTTTTTTACCATCGCCTGTGTCACTGACTGTGCCTCCGCGACGGTATGTGTTTGCATGCGACATGACAAAACTCTGTCGGGAAATACGTCGGAGATTGCCAGCTCTTACTTCTTCCTCTGTTTTTATTTTCTTTCTGCCTGCTCGAAAGAGGTATGTTTGCCTAAAACAAACGCGACAAGCCCACCTACGTACCTACCCAAACTAGGTTGAATAACACCAGCGGATCGTAAAACTTCGAATTTAGGCTACCAGGTCGGCAATACGCATTCGTTAGATGTGCGGTATGCTTTACGCAATCGCTAGAGGCTTTTGACGGTCGAGTATCAGACAGCAGACGTCGTTCGGTGGCCCGAAGTGGGTGAGTCCAAAGTTCGAGAAGGCGAACTGGCAGTCAGGGAGATCGAAGTTGGTCTCGATGTTCTGTTCAGCGGTGGTGTGACACAGTGAAAATTGGACTGACGCATACGTTGATAAAGGGCGGCAAAACTAGCGAGAATAACGTGACAGGTTTCGAAAATTCTTAGTTGCTACCCAAGATCTGGAGACGAAAAAAATAGGGGACGACTTTCGTTCGTGTATATAGTAGATTCAGGTGATAATGTGAGGTGCGAGTAAAAGAGGCCAAGGTCACTTGATCCAGCTACGGAAGTCTGAAGCTGGCTAGGAACAATTATACAGGTATGGCGTCATGACAACTTAACGCTTGCAAACCGAAAAATATCTAGTGGCATGTTGGGCTGGGGTAATTACATGATGCTTCAAGCTGTACCATGTAAGAAAATACCCACCACAGTCGGACATTATCCGTGAACCTGAATAAAGGATGACTAGTTTTAGATCTTTCATTCTCATGTAAAACGATTTGAAGATATTAATTGATGCCTATTATTAGTGGCTCATACGGGACACTGCTACGACGAAGCAGAAGTTCACGTTGGAAGGCCTGCTAGTCTCATCATTTGGCCCTTTTTCCGTGGGTAGAAACAGTGTGCCTTTTTGATATGCATTCGCATCCATCTCGATTGTAAACTGGTTCCAAAAGCCCACCCCACTTTGAGCGATATCTAGCGCGACGCTATTTTTTACAGACAAAATATTCACGCTTGGGGTTAATCCAACGCCATTTTTCCGCCAATTTGCTTAATGGAATTTAATCATCAAGGCATCCATATCCCTTATAAGGAATAATGATAAACAAAAAATCAGTTCACTTCGTTTACCTTTTCCTGGCTTGTCCGGTGTCCGGGGAACTTTAACAAAGCAGTCATTGAAGCTAAGGCTATGCCTGATGGAGTTCTGCCATCTCTGCTGGTTCTGCCTGTAGTATGGAAACAGATCCATGATGAACTGATAGATCTCCGACAGGGTTAGCATCTTGCTCGTACTATTCTGAATCGCCATCGTGATGAGCGAGATGTACGAGTAGGGCGGCTTGGCGTGCGTGTAGCTCCTCCGGTACTTTTCGGCCTGTGCGGCGGTAGTCGGCCCCTGGGGCGGAATAACGGTACGATCTGGGTGAAGCTCCGGTGATTCTGACGACGCGTAGCCGCCCGAACCAACGCAGCCCAGAGCGCCCATGTCACCGGTGGCGCTTCCACCGCGCATGTCGCCCGTACTGCCCCCTCTCATACCAGGCACCGAGGGCGGTGGCGGTGATGCGTTATAGCTTTGCCCCATATATCCGCCCATGTAGGCGCTCTGTTGTTGGAGCTGGACCGCGGCCATACCACCGGGCAGGTCTTGGTAACCTTTGTGCTGTTGGGTGAGCATTCTCCACTGCTCCTGGGCCTGAGCGTGGGCCTGTACCGCCTGCGCCTGAGTCTGGGCGTCCTGTGCCGGCGGGCGATCGGGGCCCGGAGCCCACGACTCGGGCGTTGACGGTTCACACTTCACCGTGGCGGCTGGTCAAAGCCTACGTGCTGAAGAAGATTGACGGGGTTGTAATTAACTGCTGTTGTTGTTATGGTGACGTTGACGGTTGTGCTCTTGTCTTTGCTTGTTATCTTCGTTGTCGTCGTTGTCGTCGTCGTCGTCGTCGTCGTCGTCGTCGTTGTCGTCGTCGTCGTCGTCGTCGTCTGCGTCGATTTAGTTACTGTAACAGGTCTCCTATGCCTGAGACTCTGATCGAGAGCACCAACGAATTCCAAAAGTGAGTAGAGGACTAGCGCGACTACAGATCACTAATAACGGCTCAGTTTGTGCAGCCGATGATATATATAACGATATATCAGATCGCTGTTAATGGCGTTATTCTTTGCTGGTCTTGCACAGGTACAACGCACTCCGCGCGTATTCTATACGGTGGAAAACCACGTCAATTCATATTTCGAATCCCCTTCACAAACTTCTGTTCGCTTCTACGTTTTTCTTTTGTGTTTTCCCTATTTGCGGTATTCGCTTGGTTTTGTAGTGGGCAAAACAATTTACGCACAGATTTCGCACAAACGTAAAGGTTTGCTTCTTTCTCCACGAAGATTTTCACCGGACGCCCCAACTGGTGACATCACGAAATAGCTCGCTGCATGGGTGCAACAAGTAAACCAGCTCAACAACCGAACGACGTGCAATAACAAACTGACGAAGAAGACACAAAGTTAAACTGAGATCGTACTACGCTCCTTTAGGGAATTTCTAAGGTAGTCACCCTTACTTGTTTTCGTTCGTCTTCTACAAGATTACGACAGTGCTATCACATTGCACTGCACTGCGATCACTAAACAGCCTTCGTGACTCAGTCAATCGCCGAGAAAGATCGAAACAGCTGATCGATAACTATCGAAGTATATATAATAATGAGACCATTGAACGTAACCAATTAAAACCCACTGTTGAGTCGCACTTTTAGGTTACGCCGCTACTGGTAGACCGAAAACCTGCCGGCAGATCTTGCACACCGAACAGCGCTACGGTGTTATGACTAATCTAACCGTGATAATCGTGGAGGGGTCAACTTTTTGATTCTACGATCCACACACACACACACACACATGCAGACATACACGATTATTCTGCTGCTGCTGGTGTTTAGGCGTTTCACGGTGCTTCGCGGTAACGTCAGTACTAACTGAGTCGTACCTTCGATGGTCCCGTCAAGCTCACGAAACTAGGAGACAATCCCTGCTGATCCAACGGCTCTTCATTCTTGATCTCGCGCCGATGACGGTATAAGCAAGATGGCCTGGCCGTATGTGGATCGACTGACGCCGATAGACGCCGGCAGGGTGGTATACGTCGTTAGCGTTTTCTTTGGCCTGTTATTTCGCTATGCTTGTAGGCTAAGCCGTTGCAGCAATCATAGGCTAGCATATAGGCAGATGGTAATGCTAGGCTTTCATGCATGTAGGCAGGCAAGCTTCCTGGCTGGATGGTGGCCTCAAAGGCGCTCACTTTTTTCGCCCAGTCCTGCTCGCAATTTCAAAGTTCGATCGGTGTTGGCACCGTCGACCACTTCAGCTTAGCTGTGTGTATCTAATGTAAATATGAGCGCTGCTGCCTGTTTGCTCGGCACACAGCTCCCCCTGTCAATGGACAGGCTCCGCCTGTCCGCCCTCACCCGGCGAGCGGGATGCCCCGCCCTGGTGGCGGACCGGCCAAAGCGCGATGTTAGCTCCGCCTATTGGTCGCAGCCGCGGAAGTAACAGCAGCAGTAGCAGCAGCAAGAAAGAGAACGACAGATAGAGCGAGAAGCGGGACTAAATAGGACATGGCCAGCCCCGAACTGACCCAGCACACGAAGCCATGGCTGTGCCTTGGCGGTTCATCGCTGGTCCGGCTGGCCATCTAATACACGTCGGTCTCATAGTTTGCAGAGACAGACGACGGCTGGCTGTATCGCTGTGAGTGACACACCGACAAACACCCCTGAGGATGGCAGGCAGGGCAGCCACAGAGAACGACTACGAACGCCAAAGCGATATTCGGCGCACCAAGCAACACTGGAGAGCTGGCCAGAAAACCAAGAGACCGGTCAGAGTGACTGGAACCCGCAACAGCAAATGTAGACGAAGTTTTCTGGAAGGGTGCTGGAAGTTTGCTACGGAGGCCGAAACGCTAACTACACGCGATGATAACAGTAACAACGAGGACCCTATGCTTTCACGGTATGCAGCAGTAGGGCCATCATTGTCGCCTAAAGACGACGCAGGCGCGTCATCCTGCTTCTCCATAGAGCTTATATACGAGTAATAAGGTTGTTCACGATGGCCTGCAATTAAGCGAGCCAAATCGGTTGTTAGGTCGGCTTGTGTAGACGCTAGATCGAACCCACTTATACGCTTTTACCCCTTAGGGAAGCAAGCGGGAGCTCGGTAGGTAGGGACATATATCATTAGCTAGACTAACCAATGCTACGTTTCTACTACGTGTCCAGCGAGTGAGACAGTTGAAGCGGGACAACCGTTGGATCCAGAAAAAATCGTCAGTTTTGCCTGGGCTGCGGCCGTGTGCCCATGATATAACGCTGCTGACTGAAAGATGGGTCCAAGCCGACCCCAATGGCGGTATAATAAAAACAACGGTGTTTGAGAATTGAGACCCCAGGGACAGGCTAAAACTTCGTAGAGATAAGAGTGAATCAGTGGGGTCAGGACGGGACCTGTTTTGCCCACCGTTCCCCATAGCACGCTAAGACTACCGACGACCTCACAACTAACGCCATCAACAGCGCTGCAGGCAATGCGCTAATTGGCCGTCGATAGAATGAAGTCGAACAGACAGCCGATAGCTAGTGTTTAGAGCAGCAAAGACTGGGCGTTTCCCCGCCCCGCGAAAATTCAAAACATACACGAACCCTTTCCACCCACGGCTGGCCGTAGCACACACTAAGATGCGATAAATACTTGCGAACTGAGCCCTACCGACGCACATAAGTGCAGGCACATGAAACCACTGGCTGCTTTTGCTAAAAACCGCTGGCTATAAAGGATCCAATCCTAAATCGAGGGGCTCTGCTCGTCGGGGTTCTCCGTAAGCCCGGTAAGCCTGCGCCGGAACTCTCGACTTCCCACTGTCCTCAAGCTCTTCCAACTGAAAGTCCCTTTGGGCACCCAGCCGCAGGCTCTTCTCTTGTTGACGCGGCTGCAGCAGAAGGAATCCCCTTTGAAGTTCTTCGTCAGTGCAAAAGCTGCGCGCAGACGACGAACCGCTCAAGGCGGAAAATCGTCAAAACGCCTTTTGGTCCACCGAAATAACACTAGGTGAGGACCACATTGAACCTGAATGGGTCCTGATCGACGGAAGGTGCTCGACAAAGCTAAAGCAGCTCGGCATAGGCAGACATATTGGCCCATCCGCCTGCTATGAGCTTGCCAACAGAATATAGAGCACCGTATAAGTCTTACACGTCAAGTTTTCTCTATACATATATTATATTGAAGGGAACCACATATTGCATAGAAAGAAAGCAGAACATGCATAAGGGACGATATTGAGGTTAAAGCTTGGATAGAAGATTGATGAAAAACATGCGAAGCATTATTTTCAGGCAGTATTGGAAACTTAAAGTGTTGTGCACGAACATTCGGACGTTGCGATGGCACGATCTGGGTAGGGCCTTGTGAGGAGAGGGACGGGACATCGGGGCGACTTCCCAATAAAAGTGGGGCGTGTTGGTTTGTAGTGGCGATCGAATCAGGTCGAGAGCAATGAGATGGAGTCTTGTCGAAAACGCAATTATAATAGCGCGTAGGTGTGCAACGTTTCGTCAATAAGTGACTGACAAAGTATAGCGTAAGACGCGTCTAAATCGGCATGTTTAATTGTGTGTTTGTGCGTGTATGTAAAGAAAGGCTATGTCTGTAATGGAAAGATCTAAATAAAGGCCAAGCACATTTAGTGCTATTTAATGATCTTGTGGCATTATTTCGAAAGAGATAAAAATCCGCCTATCTATGATATAAAGAGATACTTGACACGTGTTACTACTGGTACGTTTATTCAATGTTTGAGCTATTAGTGTCGGCAAGGTAAAAACCATACTACAGGACTAAATTACCAAGTCATCGCACCGATATGGCATGTTCTACAAAAAACATGATCGCAAATGGAACTATATGCGGAGCATACAACCAATGCGCGATACACTTTGGTCCCGTACGTGCTACGAGACAGGGATCGCGCAAAGACCAATGTGGATAGCCGGCTTGTAAACAACATCATACTGATAATGAAGCAATCGACTGAAAATTTCCATTTCGTTTTACTAAATTTGCAAGGACAAACTAACCAATTGGGGAAATAATCAACAAGCTCTCAGCGCTACGTTTTCCGATGTGTACACATCAGAACGTGCTTATCGATTACGTCCGTCTTGTGCGCCGCTACGACAATGCCACATGATTGCGACAAGTTAGTTTGTCACTCCGTTTGTCTCCCATTGGTTTGATCTGTCAAGAACTGGTACGAGTCTTCTTGCAGATTCAAGCAGTCACGCGCTTGGAAAGAAGCTGAAAAGGGTAGAATCCTGTTTTTGCCCTCTGTCGCTTTCCAGACACGCTGTTAACTAGGTTTCATGTCTCTTGCCACACCGATTCAATGATGCATACGGTCAGGTTGAATATCGAGAAGACTTTACAACGAAGATTTGCAGTATACGGACATGCATGTTCACAATTATGGCACAGTAAGCTTAAAAGTTAGCATATGTGATCTTACACATTGTAAGATTGCAACTCGTCGCTGTGCTTACGTTTCGCCTCTAGTTACATTCGGAGTTATTATTTCATATATCGATTATGCAATAGATATGTGGAACATTTCCTTAATGAAAACAGATACTAGGAAAATCTGTAGGCGTACTCTCGACGCCGTTTGCTTGTTTTTACCAGCAGGGCTTACACATCTTCCAAGAAGAGTACGTTCAATTAAAGACTGGAATCAGTAGACACTGGTCAGCTTTTCCCCAAAAGCAATTTTTCTGTGCACGCCACTGCGTCGACCTTTATCGTGCGTTTACCCCACTGTCTCCGGTCGCAAAGATTCTGCTATACATTCAGTTCTGCAAGAATGTACTTCATAAAATCATCTTTGTAGTCAATCCACTGTATTCGCTTGCCGAACTCATTCGCTCTGGAACTTTGTCCAATGCACGCACACAGGAGCACGTAGCCAGACCAGGCGGTGTCTGCCCAAGCCAGCCAGGGAGACGCCCATACATACGTAGGCAGCTGCTGTGCAAAGCCTGGGTAGCAGACAGGAGGAGGCACTTAGACCGCCTGTCATTTTTGTTGTTGTCGGCTGTGACTCGAATTGAACGTTCTGTTAGACAGAAGCAGACCAAGCGGGTGGAATAACGTGAAGGCGAACGACACCAGCCGCGCCTGTAGCAGCTGGTCGGCAATAGATGCGAGAACCCTCGAAAACTCAGACGAGCCTCCGTTCCATAGGTGGGTAGCACACATGGCACACTACACGTGTGTACATTATATGTGCGCAGCACGGACGGCGGCGGCGGCGGCGCTCGGAGCGCCCCCCGATTCGGCTCTCCGCAGACTCACCCGCTGACTTACCGCCGAAAACAACGGGTCGATAGCCAAATCAAACTCTTCGTTCGACCCTCCTATCTTCAATAGCTGTTGAGAGCCGAATGACAAAGTGGGCCAAGGGGCATTTGAGCCGTTGTTGGTAACGTTAGCAGGAACTGATGCGATTTGCTGAGGCAGTGTTGTGAATGGGGGCTGTTTCGTTAACGAACGACGAACGGGGAATTCCCACCCAGGTTTGCCTTTCGACTGAGAGGCGATGGCGTGGCTGAATGGAGAAGCCAAGTGACCCATCGTAGAGAGGCTAGGGCTCTTAACAACCTATCGAATCGAGCTGATGTCGAAATAGTGAGGCAGCTAGTAGGTAGTAGCTAGCAGAGGTATGGTCTAGCGTTATACATTGTCGCATTCCCTCAACGATGGGTTTTGTAAGGTAGAGTTTTATTGGCGAACGAAGACTAACCTTTGCGGAAGAGCAGATAAAGCTCTACTAGTTCACACTTTTCCTACGATGTCTGGCGGTCGATATTTTTCGTCTATGTATAAATAA